TAAAGCTGGTTTTGCTAAGAAACTGCTCCTGAAAAAAGAATCGGTACCAACTATTGTACCTCCAGCTGCACCTCCAGAAGAAGTGTGTAAAATTGTATATTTTACATTAAACTTTGCAAATCGCTTGCACGCTTCACAATGAATGCGGCTAAGGGTTACTCTCAGGGTACATTACGACACGTTTTCTATACGACGTTCTCAATATAATTCATAATCCCACGATTTAAATGAACAACGCATTATGGTTATTGTGTTATTACAAACGGTGTACATATACATCAGTAAACACATAGCATTCATACATCTCACTAAGTTACTCTACTCTGCCAGTACACTAAGATAGATCAAAGTGACATTATTGTGTCACTTTGAGCCTTAATTGTCGAACTACTTTGCGGCTGTCAACTTCTTCCAGGTCCGACTCCGGTTCAAACTGATACGGTTGCACAGATGTGTCCTCAGAGACTCCCGCTGCCATTTTCTCTCCAAAATATCCCTCAACTGTTGTCAAGGCAATACTCTATGTGCATTGTGTCGAAATGTTCACATTTAAAATGGCATAACAACTTCAAAAAAATTACAAAACTGCATTCAAAAGTGTAGAGACACTAAGACATGTAAGAAATCAATACTCCTGATTATCAATAGCATGTAAAGTACAATAAAACAGTAGTTATAATTTATTTAATTAAATAAATATTGTTATTATAATAGTATGCAAGACAGCACTGACGCTGCTTGGAATCTGAATCTATGAAACATGAAGATATGTTTTTCCATTTATGCTTGTTACCTTCCTTCAGTTTTTCTCATGTGGTCCTCAACTAAATCTGGAAATGTGGGCTTTTGATAGATTTTTTTTAAGGAGTGATTTTAGATTCCAGACAGATGGGGGTTCCTGCCAGACATATTCTGTCTGGTCCATCGTAGGTAAATCATGCATATTGTATTATCGTCCACACTGAGGGCACTTCCAAAGACACGTTAAATCTCAGCTGATCTTCTGCACTACTGTCTGTAAACCCAGAAGCTGACGGTCAGTAATAAGCCCTTGGCGGCGCATTCCTCAGATTAATCCGGGTTATGGGGCTCAGACCCCACTGCAGTAAAGACATGATGATGGGGGTTATGCACAGTTTAAAAGATAAAGACATCGGTTCTAGGATCGTCCCGTTGCACTAATTACATTACATGTCATTTAAAGAGTTTCAAGGAAGATTTGGGTGTTGTAAACCTCATTTAGATTTGGTTGGAATAAACTATATGAACTGAAACCCATCAGTTCTTATCCTTCTATTTTGTTAGTACATTCTGATTTAACTCATTGATACCTGTTGTGGAAAAATTTTATATTAACTAATATGAATAATAGCCATCATATGTTTTTCTCTCTCTCACACACACACACACACACACTCACACACAGAGTGGTAGAACAAATGGCCCTGTTTCTTATGTTAATTATAGAGCCCTGGGGTGGCAAGGAGGGGCATGGTCACCTTTTGAGACAACAGATGTGGAAAGTTACAGAAACTAGGAAGGAGGAGTTTTACTGTATAAAATGTCATGTTTGTGGTAAATCAAACAGGTCTTCTGGTTTTCCAAGCTGGGTAGCTGCGGCTCTGAAAAGAGGCCTCCTCACAAGAATAAACCTTTTCTCTTTATTACAGTTTGCCTGTTCGGAAAGTTTCTTATACCTTTGATGCTGTTTTCATTAACCTCTAAAACTTGCCATTACATACCTTTAGTTTAACTTTTTGACCCATATTTTTATTAGCCATTCTATAAAACAGAGGCTTTTACAGTTTGATGTGAGTGATTTAAAAAAAAAAAATGTACCATCTCAAGCTAAATTAGTAAAGGTTATATGTTAGGCCATCATTGCACCATTAGAAAAGTTGATGAACTGGGATGATGGTAACAGGGTTGAAAATTGTTCTGATTCATTTGGCATTACAAGCCGTGAAACAACAAGATGGTTTTTATAAGAGAGGCTATCAGTTGTTTAATGTTTACTGTACAAATGGTAAGAAGGTTAACAACATTAATAAGTGATAAAAGAGGAGACTTTAACTCACCCTTGAGGTGTTGTCTTCCTGAAAGAATGATAATGCGATTATGACATATTTTAAAATGTGATAGTGTCTTAAAACTGGAAAAAGTGATGCTAAAAGCGTTGATGCAGAACTTCTTTTACATAATACATTGATTACATATATAAATAATAACAAAATGCTAGTTTTTATATTTATATATTTTTAATCAGTGTATTGATTTATTTCTATTCTACTATATATTATTACTTTATATACAGTATATTTTTCTATTTTAAAGAAAAAAGTGTTCATGTTAATGTGATGTTTTTTTCTTTAATAGTTAATGCTTTATTAAAAGAAAAAGATTTTTTAAAGATTTTTAAATCATTCATTATTTTTTATAGTTTAGTTAAATAAATCTTACTTAATAAATCTAAAAAAATCATGATTTAAAAATGTTTATTTAATAACATATATTATTATATAATATATGTTATTATAATAATATATATATATATATATATTAATCCTATTTAAGCTTAAAAAAGGAAAAAAAGGAAAACAGATGTGAAAATAAATTTTGAAATAAAATAAATGTTCTGATTTTTGTTGATGTGTTTTTAAAAAAATATCTACAATAGATACATTGTAAAAGTTTTCATCCTTTCTTGAAGTATTTTTTTGCTAGGAGAGAGAGATGTCTCATGTTTTGTAGGATCACCTGACTGCCGCTGCACATGTCAGCTTTTTCATGTTTTCTGCATTCAGTTATCAGGGTGTTGCATTAAACCACTCTGTTGATATCAACCTCAGGTTGAAGGTGAGAGTCAGTATCGGAAGGAAGCCTCACCTCCTCCCTTAATGCATTTCCTGACTCTGAGTCAGTCATTCTGTTTGGTTTGGACACTCTTCCTCTAGTCCTGCTCAACACTCCCCTGAAGATTTATATTTTGCCAGGGTTGCGTTGACAAACCATCGATAAAAGTGACGTCCATTTTCCATCCGTGTTATCAGTGTTGTGTAGGAGCTCTTAGCATTCCCAAACTCCTTTCACAGTTATCCGCACCTCCCTGCTCTTCCACAATGACAGAAGCAATGTGTTTTGCACTGATAATCAATCCCATGATAATCAATCAGCATTTGCTGTTGACATCTATCACTCCCACTGTGGTACTGCTAGTGTGTAGAGACAGATAATACCTCAGTCACTGTTGTTATCATGTGACTGTGTAGTTAAAACAAGACCCTTGAACATTTATACAATATGTTGGCACTGCAGCCTCACTGTAGGACACCATGTCATGTAAAATCATGCTCAGCCTGTGCTGAAGAATATCCAGTGGGCAGTGTCGTTTCCTTGGTTACTGTGAGCAATGAATATAGATGGGCTTTTTAGCTGCTGATTTTTCTCGCTGTGCTGTTCTGAGGTCGGTATTCTCTCTATTATGAGGCTAATGTGATTTTAGGATGAAGAGGGCACCAGTGTTTTCTAAGATGTGCTGAAATATGTGAAAAGGGGCCCTGGGTGGGGAATTTAAAAAATGACGGGGGAAAAAATGAACTTTGTGTCAATTAAATGTTTCTTGGCAGGAATTAAACCGTTTATTTTCCAGCCCTTTACTAACCTTGTTTCGGTTTCAATAGACTCCGTTAACCTTTGATGACGTTACAATTTGGCGCCATCTAGCGATTGAGTCTTTCCTCTCTGTTACCATGTGAAGCTCGATTGTAACCAACCACCAGGACCTCTTTTTGACGGTCATCATCAGCATCGTTAATCTTGCAAAGTTTTTGATAAAAAAAAATAGGCCTACATTTATTACAGTATACTTTGTTTTGTGTGACCTTTGCAAGTTTGCATCAAAATTCAAGAAACGCTTTTGTGAGGTGTTTTTATACAACGGCTGTGTGACGGATGGTAAAAATGACGTCTTTCTCTCTTCTGACTACTGTTATCTCTCTATATATTCTTTCCCCTATTTTGAAAGTTGTGAAAACACTATTGTGGAGTTTTTTCTTTTGCTATTTGAGCAAACTGGAACACAAACAATTATTTAATTTATTGCCTCAAACCGGAAATGTAAAAAAGGTCAAATCTATTTTGTTACAATCAAGCTTTACATGGTAACACTTTTAAAAAATGATATATTCAATATTATACTTTTTAAATTAATTATAACAACGTTAATATTATAATGTTTAGTAATGATAAAAAACATTTTATCATTGAAATGTTATGTATTATACGATTTTTTTTTTTTTATTGAAATGCACAATCTTTTAAAAAATAATATAGTGTGAGACAAAGATACTGCAACATTTTTGATAAGCTTCTCCTGTATAAACAGTGCAGTATTTTGTATCTCAGAAATCCACTAGATGGTGCCACACATACTATCACAAAAAGCACAACGGAACGGATATCACTGAAACAAATGTTACAGCTGCTATAGATATCATTGAATAAAATACACAAGGACTTCTGATATCTATAAACATATATCTTGGAATCAAATCAGCTGTGATTGAATGAATAGGGCGCTGTTTAACCGAGCTTTGATAATATCACATGAGTGAAATCCTCCACATGATTCATGTTTATGTGTAGTCACCAGACATTCTGTCTCATGTAAAAGAGACACCATCATTACCGAGCTGTTTAAATCCTCCGTCTTTAGTTTGTGTAATGTATGTAACTGAGGCACGTGCAGATCGTCAGTTTATCATTACCAGCTTCAGCCTAGTTTTTTTCTCAAGACTTCAAGTGTAGACACAGACATTTACAGTGAATAAAACACAAGGCCCAATCCTTCTCCTGTTCTCCAGTCTTTTCAAACCCTTTTCTCTTTAAGGAGCTTAGTGTTGGCAGTCCTCACTGGCTCTCTGAACTGTGCTGTTTGTCTGTGTGCTTCATGGCTGTGCCTGTTAGTGACTGTGGATGTCCTGTTTCTCTCTGGCCTCCAGACTGCAGCTACACATGTCATTTGGAGTGTCAGGGGCTTGTTCAGCTGGACTGCAACCAACTAGACCAGCAGACAGAGGACGTGTCTTCTCCCACTTCACAGAGACGCAGCGCCAAAGACCTTCAGGAGACAGTAAGTTCCCTCACTCAGCCATCATTTTTACATGCACACTAAAGAGGGAGCTCCTCACTATAAAGAAACACAAGGTGACAAAAGGTAGTGAAAAAAATGGTTCACAGGCCTGTTTTGATAGGGTCACGGATTGAATATGATCACGCATGGTTAGGAAAGCAAAATTGACTCAACAGCTTCCAAATAACTTTTATTGTTAATGTCAAAGGCTGTGTATTCAAATACATATTTGACCTTTATATTTGATATACTTGACATTATATTTCATAATGACTTTATTTCTCATAATTGCAACCTTATATCTCATAATGTGACTTTATTGTGACTTTATTTCTCGCAAATGTATCTTATGCATGATATCTCACAATGTGGTTTTATATTTTATAATTGGGACTTTGTTTCCCATTAATGTGAATTTATATCTTACAATGTGACTATTTCTTATTTTAAACTTCACATTCACTATGGCAGAAACAGACTTCTCATAGAAATGGTCTTGTATAACAGGAAAGCTGGTACTTTGACATATACCATGGTGCAAAATGATAAAATATTCCATGCTACATTTACTATGCCTCTTCAAAGAATAGGCTACTATGGCAGTGCTACGTGCACAAATATTACTAATATTACTATACTATATTTTACAGTATAGTAGGCATATGACTCCAAAATATATTAGAATAATGTAATAAATTGGTACTTTTAAAAGCTCTTTTGTGATGGATGAAACTTTTTGTAAGTGAAGCATGCAGAGAGCTTTCCAAATTCTCTTTCCAAAATTATACAGCAAGATGCGAGGGATGAAGCGGAAACTGAATCTGAAATCCTCCCTGGGATGCTTTGCTGGGACACATTAGCTCATGCTTAAGTGCCTCTCTGATGCTTGGCTGTGTTTTACACTGGCAGTGAGTTTAGTCCCAGGTACATTGGAAGTGACAGCACAGTTGGGACTGAGGAAGAGCAATAGGGGGCCTGCCTGGGGCACACTGTCCTCAGAAACACACACACACACACACACTTACTTTTGCCCAAGTTTCTAGGTGAGCCTGACCGAAAAGACATGACGGCGACCTAGAGCACAATCAGACATATTGAATTTTGAAAACAATATCCAAAAACCTATTTCTCCACAAAGCGTTTATATGGTCAGAATAGTAATTACTGAAAAAAGCTTTTCCATCTCTTGTAGTGTTAGTGGATCCATCATGTTTACGAGACCCCTCCTGTCTGTTCCTATCTCGTCTAAATCAGGAAAAGAGCAAACGCAGCTGGCCTGTGCTGTCAGAGAGATTGAGAGCTGTTGAATGGTGAGCTGTCAGCAGAGGGCATTATGGTTATTTCTCAACGGAAATGAATTTCACATTAGTTGTCTCCTCACACAGTGCAGGGCTTCGGTCTTATGAACTACAGCTTGTATCACTGTAAGGTTGGATATGGACAAAAAACATTTATAATAGTCTGTTATTTCAAACTTCACCACATGGGGCAGATATATAACGCAGAATGATTGGATGATCATTTGTATTTTGGTTTGCATGTAAAAGCCTCCATTAAAAAGTATAAATGACTATCTTTTGCAACAAAACACATAAGACATAGCTTAAACAAGGAAGTTATTTTGTACTTTTGTAAAAGCCTTTGTTGGTCCTTATGTCTGTCACACTGGCATCCATTGTGTAGTTGTCTTTACTGCCATTCAAACAGCCCAGATGGACGTACCGTTCAGCAGGCATTAGACATGCACAGGAAATCCAGATAGCCCATTAAAAACAGCCTCACAACATAATTACAGCCAAAACAGCAGCTAGACACCCCTCACAGACTTCAGGGATTATACAGCCAGAAGCATTTATTTGAACAAGGCTCCTTCACAGCCACACCAGCGCCAGGGGACCGGGGGGAGGACCATTGACCTTATGTAGATGAATCACAGAGATATATATGTGTGAATCTTAAAGGCATTTGCTAAGAAAACTCTTTTCTTGTTACATTGCCAATTTTTGCACATTTATAAAATCTTTGAGTCTAATTTTCCTCTGGATGTTGATTCTTATAAACACTATTAGCTATGGAAGGAGATGATGATATTATTCACTGGGGTGAAAACTCACACACACGTTGACATATTTCACACTTCCCCTGTTATCCTTATTGCACAAACATTTAACTGCTTTTTCTCTGTATCTGTCGGTCTTATTTTCTTTGTTTCATGAGAATACAAAATGTTCTTCATGCACATTACCCTAATATCCCACATACTGTTATCATGTAGGCACAGGCCCTCATGTCCCCTGTGGCCTTAAAATATTAGCGCTAACTCACAGTTAGCCTTGGAATATCTTTCCAATCTTGTAGCCTCACTGCCTCTCAGTAACATTAAGTGCTCCATCCCGAGGTCTTGTTCAGTTTTAGCATAAAAATATGATTTGATCTGAAAGGCCCTAAAGGTCTCTATTTGGTGAGCCTCTGTGCAGCATCAGGCACAAACAAGAATACATTTGCAAGTTTAGAGATGCTGTTTTTTTTTTTATTTTCTTGGCATTTATTGGCTGTGAAAGTGCTGTAGACCGTGTGCTGATGGCTTGTTTCCCCAGCTGCTGGAGGTATCATCGGCTTTGACTCTTGCATAGTAGTGCAGATAGGCTGTTGTCATCTCGCATACACTTCCTTTTTCCTGTCCTCGGGTGTATACACACGCACAGCCACACATAGCCAACACACTTTTTATGTGTCGCATGCACTGTGGCCCCCTCAAACCACCATAGCTGCAGCTGGGGATATCAAGTTCAGTTCAGTTGAAAAAGTATCTATTTGCATGTGCCATTTTCAGGTTTTTTTTTTTTTTTTAATCTGGTCTATCATCTCACCGTAGGATTTCCTGTAGAGTAACTAGCATGACAGCTGCAATGTGCATGTTTGTGCCGTTTCCAGTGTCCTCAAAAACTAAATGTCATGATGTGAAATTTTGTCATGAATGTAGAGAGCTGTAGTGAAGTGCTTTTAAACATTGATCTGTGTGGGATTTCTCAGTGCATTTTTGGATTCCAAAAACAGAATCTATGTTATAATGTCTTCCGGCTCTGTGGTGCTATAAGATAACCTGAAGAACTCAGGAAGTGAGAGGCTGTTTCTAAAGATGAGCTGTTTGAGCTGATCCACATGAAACAGCATCCGGGTTGATTTCACTACAGTTAGGTGACGTGTTTTAGAGTGAAAAAGAGTTAACCAATTAAAATAGGATGCACATTGTTGTCATGTTAAAGGGATAATTAACTTTAAAATAAAATTAAAGGGAGACTCCACTTTTTTGGAAATAGGCTCATTTAAAACAGTTGGGTTTTACCGTTTTCGAATCCATTCAGCCGATTTTCTGATATTTAGAAGAATATCAGTAACCAGACAGTTTCTGGTCTCATTGACTTCCATAGTATATTTTTTCCTACTATGGAAGTCAATGAGACCAGAAACTGTCTGGTTACTGATATTCTTCTAAATCTCAGAAAATCGGCTGAATGGATTTGAAAACGGTGAAACTCAACTGTTTAACTCTGGGGGAGTTTTAAAATGAGCCTATTTTCAAAAAAAAAGTGGAGTATCCCTTTAAGGCTGCATCCCAAAATGCATACTTTCTTGTGTAGGTACATATTTGTAATAAGTAATTACTTCACAACTGCAAAAAAGGTACGCTCTATATAGTATGAATGTGTGCAGTAGGAATGTAATCTAGACGTACTACATTCGCCATGTTGTCTTTATCATGTGATCAGCATCAGTCGCGTCACCTCACTATCATTCACAAATTCTCTCCCATGACCTCATGGGATGGTAAAGTGGCCAAGGTGGTAAAGTGGTCAAGATTTTCCTTAAATAATACATTCAATTTGGGTTTGTTTTTTGGTAAACTCTATCATATACCCCTTGAACACATGGAATATGTGGCATGTGTCACATGGTAAAATTTGTGATACTTTTGCGTCTTTTTTAAAAAGCTTGATGCCGGTCGCTATTCACGCCATTATATGGACGAGCATGAGTGGAAATTGTTTTTTAATCCTCCTTTTGTGGTCCAAAAAAAAGGAAAGTATGGTTTGTGGCATTTGAACAACACTAGGGTGAGTAAATTATAACTTAATTACATCTTACATTTTTAATTGTAGCATAAACTATCCCTGTAACTAGGGCTTGGCACATTTTAGAACTGAATAATTGGCAGTGGCACCCATTCAGTTATACGTGAGAATTGAATTTGAAAAATATACCATTGTTGCAAACAGCGCCAAGGCTGTTTCTACAGTTTGCGCATCACCAAGTTTGGAAATCTGAGACCATCATCTGCATTATTTAAGTACGAGAGGGAGTAAGAGGTGTTATAGCAGGATCAGAAACATATCATATGTAGCGTCCTAACTGCACTTAACACCACTGTGAAACAAGAGATGAGTCCAGTTTCATGATCTGTCCAAGCCTCCAGTTACTCCTAACAGAATGTGTCGCCAGCACAATGTAGAGTTTAGGACCAAAAAAAAAAAAAAAAAAAAATAGGCAGAATACAAAGCCTTCTGCTTCCCTGTAGAGAAAAATGCCTGTGTTACAGATTGCTCGAGATACATTATCATTGTCACTGTCAGGCACATTGATTATCCACAATGCATCTAGCTCTCTATACACACTTGAATGGCCCTCTTCACTCGATTCTTCATACAGCAGTAAGACAACTTTATAGCCTGCATTTGACAAGATTAAATGACGATTTCCACTTGCATTTCTTCCAGGAGGTACCACGCTCCATTCCGTAGTACCCCTCACGGTTTCAATGTGGCTCTTTTGGTCTGGGTGATTTTACTTTGATTTTGCACACCCCTCCATCCTTCCATCCACAGTATTGATTGTGTTTTTCTGGGCAGGTGCATAAACCCCCTTCTTAGCAATCTTTTTTGAGAGAAACGATTGAGTTCTAGTAAGAATTAATTGGGGTGTATTGACAGTTAGCCAAAAGA